GATGGATGGATGGATGATGGATGAATGATAGATGGATGGATAGATGGATGGATGGATGGATGGATGATGGATAGATGATGGATGATGGATGGATGGATGATGGATGAATGATAGATGGATGGATGGATGGATGGATGATGGATAGATGATGGATGATGGATGATGGATAGATGGATGATGGATGGATGGATGATGGATGGATGGATGGATGGATGGATGATGGATAGATGGATGGATGATGGATAGATAGATTTATGGATGATGGATGGATGGATGATGGATGGATGGATGGATGGATGGATGGATGGATGGATGGATGGATGGATGGATGGATGGATGATGGATAGATGGATGGATGTATGATGGATGAATGGACAGATGGATGATGGATAGATGGATGATGGATGGATGGATGATGGATGGATGGATGGATGGATGGATGATGGATAGATGGATGGATGATGGATAGATAGATTTATGGATGATGGATGGATGGATGATGGATGGATGGATGGATGGATGGATGGATGGATGGATGGATGGATGGATGGATGGATGGATGAATAACCATTTTGTGTTGGCTAATCAAGTTTAATACACTTTCTGAGAAACTGGCCTGATTATGTCCGTTTTATGTTTTCAAACGTCAGCTGGCTGTGGCGGCCATGTTAAACTTGGCTGATTTTAACATTTAAGCAGATGCAGATGGTTCCTGTTAGCATGTTTCATTAAATCTGTCCACTGGTTCATGAGATATTTTGCTACTGTAGACATGTTAACACACAAACATGTCTAAAAGCAGAACTGACCCTTTAGCTCTGCCAGAAGGCGAATTAGACAGAAGTGAAATAAAGCATGAAGCTAGTGGAAGTGGGGGTGGGGATGGAGGGAATAAAATGTTTTAGGCTCTTCCCACCCTGCCAAGGACACTGTAAATACATGTTTTGCTACAATTTAAATATCAGGTTTCTCCCTCTGAGGGAGGATAAATGATCATCATTAATTATAATAAATTTGCTTGTCAGGACTGCAATTATTTTGTTGCCACACAAATTGTTTATTTCTCTAACTATGGCGGTGGAATGGCAGAATGAGTCATGAGTCTGTTGAACAATCAAAGCCAAAGAAACTAATTGTTTCACTCATCAAAATTTTCCTTTTTTTTTTTTTTTTTGTTACTGGGAGTTTAGAAGTGCACCTTTGGGCTGTTAGGAAATGAATGTGTGGAGTTTAAAGCTTACCAGTAATCTCCAAGACAACTTTATTTCTGCCTGAAGCAGTGATGCAAATTGCTGCCATGATGTGTAAGTTCATTTAGAATGTCAGCTGGCTCCCTGCAGTCAGTGACAGGCAGAATGAGCTGAGCTAATAACACACTCCTATATTAGGAAGGCTACATAGGATCACAGCATGTCAGTTCAAAAAAACATTTACCCAGGCGCCTCTATGACTCTGCTTTC